TCTATCTATCTATCTATCTATCTATCTATCTATCTATCTATCTATCTATCTATCTATCTATCTATCTATCTATCTATCTATCTATCTATCTCCCACCTGCATGCAGCGGGCGGCGTGGCCCAGCCCGGCGTAGGCCCTCATCTCCACGGCGCGGTCGTCCATTTCCCGGGCCAGTTCCAGCACCCGGGAGTGGAAGGACACGGCCCTGTCGAAGTCCCTCTGGGAGTGGTGGGCGCTGCCCAGGTTGCTGTAGGCCCGCGCCTCCTCCCGCCGGTTCCCCAGGGCCTGAAGACCACAGCGTCACCACCAGAGATGTTCAGTAACGAAGTAGAACTTAAGTACCAAAGTACCAAAAATTCCCCATCTAATCTGAAGAAGCATATGAAGGTAAGTTAACTCATTGACTGCCAGCCATTTTCAGAACAGAGAGTCCCATACTGCCATACTGAGTTTTTTGAGCATTTTGACTGATTTTTCAAGAACCACAGAATTGCTTGTGCTATGACTATGTAAACACCAAACACACCAAAAGAAAGAGTAGACTCTCTTCTATCATCAGGAAAAATTTTGGTTTCTACCTTATTCCGTTCTTCCTGGACTTGCGTCTCACGGGCGACATGTTCTCTCATAGAACCGTTAGCTTTTTCTTATTTGCCTACAGTCTATGCTCATCTCCCATCAAAAGTGGCACTGCCCCCTAGAGGGTCAATTTGTTACTACATACTCTGTCTAGAAGCTGATATTTACGGACAAGCATTAGCAGATCGTCCCTCAAGCCACTCTCGTTGAAAAACATAAAAGACGTCTATAGACGTCTTTGGCAGCCAATGAGTTAATGTTGGCGTGTTATTATTAGCCATTAGCCGCAGCTAGCAACTCAAGGCTAACGTCATGCTAACAATCATCATCATGTAAATAAATAAATAAATAATGGCCGACTGGGCTGTGGGCGTGGTTGGATATCCATCCTTGGCTACAGGTGTCCTCTCACCTTGGCGATGGCGAGGTGCCTAACTCTAACCCTAACCCTAACCCTTCATGCTTCATAATTGTGAGAAATAAATATTTTTTGGTTAAACTTGTTTGGACTTATTGTACAAACCTATTTAACATCCACTATTTTAACATAATATGATGTATAGAGTTTAATTCAGTGTTTGCAAGATGAATTTCACTATTTTTAAATTAATGTCTATATTGCCATGAAGCAATTAGGATCTTCTTTACCTGGGATCTTCCTATTGAACTAATCAAAATGGCCGACTTGGATGTGGGGGAGTTGGATATCCATCCTTGGCTACAGGTTTCCTATTTAACCTCCACTATTTTAACATGATATTATATATAGAGTTTAATTCAGTGTTTGCAAGATTCATTGCACTATTTTCAAATCAATGTCTATATTGCCATGAAGCAATTAGGATCTTCTTTGCCTGGGATCTTCCTATTGGTGACCTAATCAAAATGGCCGCCTCGGATGTGGGCGGGGTTGGACCTCCATAGTTTCTCTATTACCTTGGCGATGGCGAGGTTTCACTATTTTTAAATTATTGTCTATATTGCCATGAAGCAATTCCGATCTTCTTTGCCTGGGATCTTCCTATTGGTGACCTAATCAAAATGGCCGCCTTGGCTTCCTGCCGGTTTCCTCTCACCTTGGCGATGGCGAGGTGCTGCTCGTGGCTCTGCACGGCGTTGGGGAAGTCTCCCAGGGCCGTGTAGACGGCGCCCATGTTTCCCCGCTGGCGGGCCTGGTCCAGCCGGGCGCCGGCCTGCCGGGCCAGCAGGAGGCACTGCCGGTGGCTGGCCAGCGCGTTGGGCCAGTCCCCGATGGAGGAGTAGACGTGGCCCAGGCTGCTCAGGGCCTCCGAGGCCGCCTGCAGGAAGGGAAACAGGAAACAGGAAATAGGTTAAAAGAGGATAGATCATAATAAATATAGGTTAAAATAATAAAAGAGGTTAAAAATTAGATAAAAACGTAGATAAAATGTGTTGCAAGATGTCCATTTTGACTGGTTTCAGGGTCTTAGTAATTTTCAGCATCCATCCATCCATCCATCCATCCATCTATCAATCTATCCATCCATCCATCCCTCTGTCTCTCCTTCCCTCCCTCCATCCACTCATCCATCCATCCCTTCCTTCCTTCCTTCCTTCCTTCCTTCCTTCCTTCCTTCCTTCCTTCCTTCCTTCCTTCCTTCCTTCCTCCCTCCCTCCATCCATCCATTCCAACAAGGCCAGCCTATTTCTATTGTAGAAGGGTCTGTTTTAATGAGAAAAGAAGCTAAAATGAAGACACAGTGACGGCTAATTGTTGTTTTTGAGACCTTTGAACCAAGACGAAGATCATAATTCAGTATTCAGGTTCTTTATGTTAATTCAGAATTTGAGCTAACTGTGCGTCAGCCGATTCACAGGTTTGTGTTCAAAACATGAAAATTAGACGTGGTTTCAGATTCCCACCTTCCTAAATACACACATTTGTATCCACTATTAGCTTCTTTATCCTGGTTGTTTGGAGGAAAAACCACCAAATGGAAGCAAAGTACCGCTGTTTTTGTGTGTTTTCACCCCAAAATCTGCCCAACGCCCCTCAGAGACGCAGGTTTGCTTCGATCCGGTGACGAATTTCCAGGTTTGCCAGCCGACGGAGTCGTTTTTAAGATCGCTTTAGACATTTTTTGAGCCGCAATCCTAAATGCCATCAGTGGGAATTTAAAGGTCGGCTGCGTTTTGGTTGAAAAATCCTGCTTTTGTTCGTGGACGGACGAGGAAAGACGCTCAAAAACTGTCACAGGAAACAGCTAAACTGACCTTTGGAGGAATTTACCGGCTCTAATTAGCATCCGTTTCTGTCCATGTGCGTTCGTAAGACGACAGCAATTCCCAATTCCCAGAAAAAGCCACCGGAGCAAACACATGAAACCCACTTGTCACGTCTCCCCCGCAGTTTTAATAAATGGAGAGCGGGCTTCCACGAGTAGACGAGTGTTTGATTTCCCTCAAGGACAGGATTTTTCCCCTGATCCAGAAAATACACACGAACCAAATCCAATCTTGTTGAGTCCGGGTCTGAGTGTTTGTCTCCGTCTTTATATGTGTTTGAAAAAGAGAGAAACCGACAGCGGAGGAATAAATAAAATCTCAATATCCGGCCGCCCATTAAGGCCCAAAGACACCGGGGAGCTTTGGCAGGTGGAAACCAGAAGAAGAAAAAAAAAAACAATATCAGAGAACAGAAGTGTGTGTGTGTGGGGGGGCAAAGATGGGGGTCTGGATCTAAAGGATGGACAAAAAAAGAGTGATAAAATGCTGCTGCTGGCTCTTAGTCCTCTTGATAAACCAGCCAGAGAGAAGATGGGGGTCTGAAAAAGCCCCCCCCCCCCCC